AAAAAAAAAAAAGCTTATACTTGCTCTGTTTGCATATGGAAATGGATTAGGGGAAGAATTTTTAGATTGAAACTTGAATTTTTAGGTTTAAGTTTTTAAGTAGCCAATTGCCAGTGTCTGCATGTTGCCAGGGCTGTCTGTGCTAAGCGGGCTTGCGCGTGTGAGCCTCAGACTCCGAGGTGGGACCAGTCCCAAAGCACAAGTCTTGGGATAAAGGCCTGGTGTTGCTCCTGGTGGGGAAGCCTTGACTCCTAATGCCTTCCAATTACTCAGTGCACACTCAGTGGCATCCGGCTCTGCGGAGAGCATTGCTCCCTGTCAGTCAACTCTGGGCTTCCCAGAGACACACCCCAGCACTGAGCATGACCTTCATCCTCACTGTATCTCAGGAGAACATCATTCCTGGGTTCAGAGGGAGCGTGAAGCACAGCAAGCCGTGGCTGGGAGTCTAGGGAGCCGGAGGAGACCGAGGACGGAGCTGGATGGCCTGGAGCTCTCCTGTGAGGCTCTTTCCAGCTTCGCCGAGCTCAGCCAGGAACAGCAGCAGCACTTACCTTCCAGCGAACAGGGTTCAGGGCTTTAATCTGCTCGTTCATGTCCTCGTCCACGTTGAACCGGTTGATGACAGAGTTGATCTTGAAAGCCACTCTGTAATCGTTGCACCACTTCCTCAGCTTTTGAAGATTTTCCACATGGTTCTTCTTTCCTTGGCCACGGCCAATAAGGACGTTGACTTCCTCATCAAAGCTGTCACAGGAAATGGCGAGAATGTCCAAGTAGTCACCTGTGGTAAAATGGTCAGCTGAATTTTTCTGTCCAAGGAACAAGTGCCACAGGTCACATCAATCAATTCATGATACAACATATTTTGTTTGCATCTGGGTTCTAACTTTTTATGTGATATTTTCCTCATACCTATGAAACTTGCTGAGATGTGAACTCTACTGGTATAGAGTATTCATTAAAAAACCACACATGTGCCTGGGTGCAGTGATGTACACCTATAATGCAAGCAACTTGGGGGGCCAAGGCAGGAGGATTACAAGTGTCAGGTCAGCCTCAGTAGCTTAGCAGGACACTTTTGCAAAATTAAAACAAGAAGGACTGGGGATATTGTGTCCCTGGGTTCAACCTCCGGTACCTCCCTACGCACAAAGTCTATACACATAATTAATGATGGATATACATATTTGATCATTCTAAAACCCTACTCCCCTACTTGCATGAGCTCCAATTAATATGCTTAATATTTTCCATTTATTTCTTTATAGAAATCATATAATTTATGAAGCAAGCAGATAGATATTTTGGACGCTTCCACACTTAGCTATGAGTATAGATTTGCTTTTCTTTTTCTACCACACAAATACAATTGCTTTGTATAAGAGGGAGCATGAAGCACAGCAATTTTTTGGCCAAGTTCACCAGCTTCTTCCTGATGTATTTTGTACCTTTGATTCACCATCTAAATATGCACAGAGACTCTATGCGGTGTCAGGTACAACCATGTTAGATGCTGAGCAAACCCAGATAAAGGGAGGCTGAAGGGAGGGTGTCGGGGCCCCTCCCTGTAGAGTAGCATATTGACAGCTCAGATAGTGGGTCGTTTGGAACCCAGAACACGCTGAGTGTGATTCTGGCGTTGAGCTCTCCTCCACTGGGTTCCATGACAGTCTTTTCTACCCCCTCGTTCTTCTGCCCCTGCCTCTGCCTGGGCTGCTCCTGCTCTTCTGGCCTGTGAAGGGCAGGCCTTCTCTGGGCCTGGGCTTCCTCACGGGGGTTAGACCTGCACTTCCAAGTTACTTCCCAAAGATGGCACCTTTTTCTTAAATTTGCCTTTGCTTTATGGAAACCAAATGTTCCATTGCTCCTTCAACAGCACTTCTCTATATTACAAACAAAAAGAGTCATTTTAGCTCCTATTTTAAGGCTCATTTTGTGTTACCCAGATGTAACAAGCAATTAGCACACGTACGAGCCAGAAACACTCTTTAACACAACTCTAAATGTCCTACAATTTGATCTTGAGTAAATTTGTAATGGGATATCATACTGGAACAAGGCAACTCACTGAGCATGTGGTCTCTAACCATCCAAAAAAAAAAAAAAAATTGAAAACTAAACACACAAAGCCCTGTTGGTTCTATGCAGGCAGCCTCTTCTGGTTGGCTCCCAAATGGGCTTCAGCTGTGCTCTGCCACCCTTCCAACTTCTGCTAATTGCTGTGATATCCCTCCCTCTAGTTCTCAGCTTCTCTGGTCCTGTCTCTTGGGAAGAGGGATTTATCAGAGTGAATCTCTGCTCAGTCCTTGCATTTTTCTAAGAGAGTCAGAAGCTGTGATGGGGTCTTTCCTATGCCTGCATGTGTGACTGCCACAACATTCACATGTCACCAGTGGATGGTGCAAGAGCCGGAAGCCCACAGCCTGCTGCAGCCATGTGCCAAGACTCCTCAGGACTGTTGAGCAAGATCCAGGGTCTATCTGAGTGCAGGGTTAGGCGGTCTCATAGCAGTATGTTCCCGAGTGACCTGCCCTGTATGAAAGTCTTGGATCCTAAGGTTCCAATGAGATTTTCTGCATAGAGAATGTCCAAACAAGTCTCTGCACTTCACTGATGGACAGAAAGGACAGCCTCTGTGAGGTCAGAAGGGGGTGAACTCAGAACAGTATGTTGGACTCTGGACTCTGGACTCAACGACACACACTTTTACGCTACCCTTTTACTCTATACCTTTGCTCTCCTAAGCCCTGGCTTATAAGTCCTTCCAGAAGATAGACAGACTTGGAGAGGTGGGGACCTGTGGCATAGCCCCCTCATCCACTCAGCACACAGGCCCATCCCTGGACCTTTAGATCAGAGGTGGACAACTGGAGGGGCCTGAGAGGGATACGGATACATTTTGTTGGTTCCTTGAGCATCTAAAAATATTTCAAATTATTAACTGGCAGAAGGAACACAGAATGCAGATTTTTATTCATGTTTAATAATATGAGCATCTGGCAAGATTTTATATGGTGCAAAAAAAATTAAAGTTTATAATTGGAGGTCCTTGGCCTCTAAGAAGAGAGCCAGTGCTGCCCAGTCCCCATCCTCACCCCTTCCTACTGCGACCTTGCGGGAGATGCTGGGTTCTCCCGTAAACTTCCAAGTGCCTGAGTTTCCATCCCCTTTCCCAGACACACACCCCAGGGTTTGTCGCTGCGATGCAGGAGTCCTTCTGCCCCTGCAACACTCTCCACAGGGATGGGCAGGTCCAGCCATCCTGGAGGGACAGAGCTGCCCAGGCACACATCAAGAGAAACCTTGTCAACTGGTCTCCAGTCGCTGCCTCCTGGACACCTTCCCTGTCTCTTGGGTCTGTCTGGCTCCCACAGCGCCCTTGCCTTTGTCCCTCCAAACCCACTTCCCCCTGGTGTCACCCTTCTTGCTCTGCTTTCAGACATTGCCTCAACTCCTCCTTGACCTCCCTCCCCTGAAACTCTGAAACCTCTCAGATGGACTGCACTGGCCCTCACAGCCTTCTCCCCGAGTCTTGGGATGGAAATTCAACTGGAGATTTCTGGCCAATACTCCAACAGATGGAAAAAGCCAGTTTCCTTTGAATGACTTTAAAGCTCAAATGGCTCAGCAGAGAGAGAGAGAGAGAGAGAGAGAGAGAGAGAGAGAGAGAGGGAGAGACAGACAGACAGACAGACAGACAGACAGACTGTGCTGCCTCAGTGCCAGGACGTTATCCACAGGCAAGACTTAATGATAAGCCTTCTCTGCCGTGTTAGGACCTGGTGGCTCTTAATCCTGGCTGTGCAGAGGAAGTCCTTCCAGCACCAGAAATCAGCCAGTCCACACACGGTGTCTGACATCATTAGTTCTGGGTGTAGTCCAGTTCCAGCAGAGACAGTTTCCTGCACAGCTGTAAAGTGTGCTGATTTTCCTCAGTGAGTGGCTAAGTGTGGGTCAGAGGTCTGGATACTTGCTAAGTCTGGAAGGTGCAGAAGAGTCAGGCTTCCTAACACGCTCGGTTCTCTGACTGGCCACCCCGGTTTACTGAGAGCCCTGCAGAACCAAGACGCCCATCGAGCCCAGCTGGAAGGGAGATTAGAATAAGCAAGATTTGTTTTTCTTTCCTTCCACTTCCCCAGAAGGCCTGGCCTGAGGCCCAGGATGTGAGGAAACACAGGAACCAACCCTATCAGCAGAGACGCCTGAAGCGGCCTGCAGGAGCGCTTACCGTAGTCCCTGAACCACTTCTCCCGGATCAGGCTGCCGTTGCTCACGATGCTCACGCTGGGCAGGAGGAGCTCCCGCTTGCAGAATTTCACCAGCTGGCCCAGGTACTCGCCCCGGTCCTGAAGAAAGGGCTCTCCGCCAGAGAAGTTTATCTTCTCCATCCCTGCCAAAGGCCGAGGGTGAGGGTCCCCTTCACCAAATCCCACTTTCATTTTTGTTTTATTTTGTGTCTTGTGCTGCTGAGCATCTCACCCAGGGCCTCATGCAGTGTGGGGAGCACCTGAATACTGAGCTACACCCCCAACCCCATCCACTTTGGTTTTAGTGCAAAGGTAATATTTTCTCCATGTTAAAAAAAAAAAAAAAGAAATGAAAATTTCTCATTATCCTCTCCTTTCCCAATTTGTGTTCCTAACACCAACCCCACCTCATCAGAATAACCATGCATTTAATTCAGGGTATAAACAGGGGGAAGAAAATCACTTGAAGATTTTGTTTTTGCTTTGTTTTTCCCTCCTTTAAGCAGATGTCCTTGGATGTTGGGAGTTCTTTACATAGAGGAGCTGACTTGGTTAGAAGCCAACGGGTGCAATGGCGCAACCCGGAGTCTGCAAAGCAAACACCACCTCCTGAGACATGGGTAGAGCAGGCGGGGAAACAGCTCGACATGCCCCTGACACCCAGGCTCAGAAACTGGTTGTAGCTAGACCTGTGAGAGGGCTAGCTGAGGAGGGAAGGTAAAACATTATATTTTAGTAAGATGTCTACTTCCAGGGAGAGCAGAGTCAATGAGATGAATGACAAGAATCCTGCTGAGGAATGACAAGAACTTGAGCTAGGTCACTCTGAGAAGGACAAGGTGATGGGTCTCTACTTGCAAGATCAGCTGCAGATAACCAGCCGGCAAGGTGGAGCAAAGCAGGTCAGGGCCAGTCAAGTGCCCGTCATATGATCTCGTCCCCATAAAGCACCGAATCAGCAGCACCAACCAGGGACACCCCCTGTGGGGAGCGTGCTGGGCGTGGTCATTCTGCACCTAGGGTTCTGCTTTGCGAATCCACCTGCTGGGCACTTAGGCTGTGTGTGACTTGGGGCTTGTCTACAAACATTCCATGAGAATGTTCAGAAGAAGACTTTGCAAAGTAGCCAAGGGAGTGTTCTAGGAAGGACAGGAGGGAGAAGAGCAGGCTTGGAGGGGGAGACGTGGCGCTCGGACTCCACTGCTGAGGCTGCTCTGAGGGGCTGGAACCGTATAAAGGTGTGGATGTCCAGTAAGCAGCGCTCAAGAGCAAGGCCTCCCACATGTGCTAGAAATAATTGTTACACGTTTCCTATCAAGAGCACATACATGATCCCAGACAGAAGGCTCAGATGTTGCTGTTCTAACATCCCATATTTCGTGTTTGTTTTCAACTTTCCTCATTAAATATTTCTGGAAAAAATTGAATTCCTTGGTGCCTTGGACAAACTCTGAAAGTAGCATCACCCTCCCGACCTCCATCTCAATGCTGGGGGAAAGGGGCCTGCCGATGGCACAGACCGGGGCTGACAGGAGGGTGGGTGTGCCCACCAGCCACCTGGCCAGGGCACCTCGGGGCTCAGGAAGCCCAGGCATCTGCCCGCATTACGGCCCTGGCACCTGGGACGACGTGGCTGTGGTGGCCGGGAGCCCTGTGGCCAGGGTGGCTGCCCCCGGCCGGATGGGCCCCCTGGGGTGGATGGGGCATCTTGACTCCTTTCTGGGCCTGGGACTCACCAGCTTCCTTGAGCAGGAGCAGCCCCCTCTTGGCCTCCTCCAGGGGCAGCACGAAGGACGTCTTGGCCGTGTGGAAGCAGAAGCCGCACCTGTAGTTGCACTGCCGCGTGAAGTGGTAGTTGACGCTCGTGGGGGTGATGGGCAGGTCGCCGTCCGCCTCCTCCTCCTGGCTCCCCTCAGCTCTCTCTCCCACCGGCTGCTGTCCCTTCCCTGTACCTGGCCACCAGAAGGCTGCCCTCAGCCAGTACAGCAGTGGGGCCAGGCCCCTCCAGAGCGAGTGCAGCAGGGGCTGCCTGAAGGCGCCCAGCAGGCGCGCAGCCAGAGCGGAGGGCAGCAGCATCCTCATGGTGGCCACGGAGTGTGGGAGGCCACGGCTCAGTTATATGAAGGTGGAAAGGGCCCGCCTCTGAGCATCCTGTCACAGCAGAGGGACACGCCCCCTCTGACTAACTCCCAGCTGAGTTAGTTTCGATTTTCTTCTTCATGAAAAGGAAAGTTGGAACCGGGCCAAGACCCAGGCTCCAGTCAGCAGCTGCCTTCCTACCTCACCCTGTGCTAGCACCTGAGCAGGTGCTTCAGAGACCGGTGCCCATCAGTGGTGTCTCTGTGCCCCCAAGACACACAGCTACCTCTGTAGGTGGGCTGCACCCACTCAGGCAGAGCAGCCTTAACCTGAAGGAAGGGGACTGGAAGTGCTCCAAATTGGGGACTGGTTTGAGTTGGGAAGTATCTGCATATACCTAGTGAGATATTTTGAGGATGGGACCCAAGTCTCATTATGAAATTCATCCATGTTTCTATGCGCCTTGCACACATCCCCAGAGGTGGGCTTACACAACATGTGAATAGCTTTGTGCTAGAAATACATCCTCAGGAGGCAAACTCTCCACTTGTGGTGTCTTGTCAGTGCTGGGTTTCCAGTTAAGTGCATTCTGGATTTGGATTTTCAGATGCTGAGACAGTATAACTGTGTGATGATGAGAGCCTTCGGAGGTAGGTGCTCAGGGAAAGTTTGTTATGATAGTCAAAGAGAACTACCTTGAGACCCCCTGCTGGGCATTTCTCCAAAGGAGCGGAAATCAGGGCATGGAAGAGACATCCTCACATCCATGCTCACTGTGGCATTGTCCATGACAGCCAAGACCTGGAGGCAAATGAAGGGTCCATCTGCAGATGAATGGGTGGGGACACAGAGTACCCCCACACCATGGAATCCTACGACTCTGCCTTCAAAGAGAAGAAAAACCTGTCAAGTCTAACTGCATGGATGAACCTGGAGGACATGACGTTAAGTGAAATAAGCCAGCAAAGAAAGACACATGGTGCATGAGCTCTCTGATGTGTGGAATGAAGGTATTTACAGTCCCAGAAGCAGAAAGTAGAAGAGTGGTTCCCAGGGATAGAGGAGTAGAGGCAAAGAGAAGATGAGGGTCAGAGGACGCAAGACGCTCCTTAGAGAGGAGGAGGGAGTTCAAGAGGTCCAGTGCACAACACGAGGACCTGGCTCGTGGCCATGTCATTACTGTTGAAAGCACATAGTGGGAAGACCACTTGATCAGGGAGGATGGCTCTGCAGGGACTTCAGTCACCCAACCTACTTGTTGTGACAGGGTTAACATGTAGACATGTGTTCCTGGACTTTTAAGCTATTTCTAATAGACATTCCCAGCTAGGAAAATAGGATATTTTTCTAACCTGCTTCCTAATTGGGGAGAATCACTGTGGCTTGTAATTTCTTTGTTTTTATACTTTTCTCAGGAAGAATTGTGATCACCCTTCTTTTTATGATCAGGGTGGTGTTGATCATGTGTCTTCAAGTGTTCCTGAGCTGAGCAAAGTTGGAACAGGCCAGTGGCTGGGCTTCAGGACCCAGCTGTGTAACACTGTCACCTGCTCGACCACACAATCACACACACTGCACACACGCCGACACGCCTCTGTCAAGGTGTAGATGCTACTTAATGCTCCTCTGTTGGAAGACCCCTGAGAACTGGACGTGCTCCGTTAGGGTTAGCTATTGTTTATCTGAATGGAAATAGAAACAGCTCATTTTCCTGAACAGAGAAACCGAAAGCAAATTCTGCAAAACAAGAAGCACGTGTTTAACGATTGCCAATTATGCAACCATGGATGTGATCCAAGACTTTGAAATCGGGGCAAAAGCTATTTGAAACTTTTACACCATGGTCTGGCTCAATTGAGAAAGGCATTTTGCTAGATTAAATATGTACGAAGAAATGAAAATCAGATCAATTATAGTTATAATACAGAGGATAAAACACAAGCTTTTTGAAACAAAACCTGTTAAAAGAACTGAATCCTACCTCAGCCAAAATCACAAAATTTTGAATAGATTTCTTAACTTGCCTGATCTTGTTGGTCATCTGGGAGAAAAGAATGCCTAACTCACAGAGGCATTTTAAAGATTCAGTGACATAATGTTGACATAGCCCAGTTGATTACTCATCTACTGTGATAAGGATTTGGAATGCCATTCCTGCACCTGTCTTGTGGTGCACATACGCAGGCCCCTATGCTGGGCCTGACGGACCACTCAATGGAATCCAGGAGTGGAATCCGTTGCTAAGACACACGAGTGTTCCCTGGTAGTGCAGACCTCCAGTTTTCCAAAGTGATCAGCTATCAGAACCGTTCAAGGGTTCTGTTGCTCCACATCTTGCTGACTGCTGTCATTGCTAAGTTGTTTTGTTTTGTTTAATTTTAGTCATGGAGATGTTGTGATGACTCAAGGGAGTTTTAGTTTCCAATTTACTGATGACTGATGTTGTTAAGCATCCTTTTATATATTTGTTAAGCCAGTTGGATGCTCTCTTTTTCGTGATGTGCCTGTTCAAATTCCTTACCCCCTAAATGAATGGGGTGCACATCATCAATCCTGATATTTGTATAAGATGATCCTGAAAAGTTGGTGTGGCAAGGTTTGTTGCTTATCCTGTGCACCCAGAATCTCCAATCATTAACAGAAAGACCCTCTAGAGCGTTCTATTTCCAGGGTGTGGGCAGGGATGGCTCACAACTCTGGGCTTCCATAGAAGTAATCAACAAATGAGTACCTGGTTCTGTTTGGTAAACTTTCTTCACAGGTAGTCCCATGAACTTCATTTCTTATAGAAAACCCAACTCCACAACACAGTAGAAGGATGTCCTTCAAGTTGGAAATCCACAATTGCATAAGAAAAAACCAAACAGACAGATGCTCTGAGCAGCAGAGGCTTCCTCTGCTCCTGGCTGGGAAGTGACTTAAATTCTCAGTGCTTTCTACCCCGTCCATTAGCTTCCTGCAGGGGACTCAAGCTGAGGAATCATCACTCCTTCCTGGATCTGCTTTGTGAATTCTCATTTTCTGAGCTCCACATTTATTTTGTGATATGCAAATCTGTTGATGTAGAGTTGTCTGAAGTGGGTTTTTTCTCTTCAGAATCCCTTTCTATTTGTGGTTCCCAACCCTAACCCTAAGCCTAACCCTAACCCTAACCCTAACTCTAACCCCTAACCCTAACCCTAACCCTAACACCTAGCCCCTAACCCTAACCCTAATCCTAACCCCTAACCCTAAACTCTAACCCTAACCCCTAATCCTAACCCTAACCTAAACCCTAAACCCTAACCCTAATCCTAACCCTAATCCCTAACCCTAAGCCCTAAGCCCTAACCCTAACCCTAACCCTCCACTTATCCTTATCACTCTGATTTTCATTTCCTTTTTCCCACTTGAGAAAACTACCCAAAGCATACCTATTTAAGCAGCGTTTCAAAAATCTAGGCTTCTTTTTGGGGTTTTATTATTTATTAGTTGCTGCATTTAGGTGTGTTACAATTCTCTGGGCTTGTTTCCCCCATGAGCAGAATGGTTAGAGTAGTTTTCTTTTTCCTTTTGTAATTCTGTAAATGTTGAAGCCTATGGTTTTTCCTAGGAATACAGCTGTTCTATTCATTCCTTCAAAGACACCTCTTTGAAGAGCCTTCCCAGCCTCCAGATGCGCTTCGATAGCTTTCTACTGGCAAGTTTATTCAGCCTAAACATTCAGCTGGCACTATCAGAGACTCTGTCCTAGGACTTTAAAATAGGAACAGTATTTCTTTTTGAGTAAAGACATTGTATCTTCAGCCTCTAACACATATTTAATATGCACGGATCTCATCTGCTTGAGTGTCACTGAAGTACTACATCTCCTCATAGGACAGAAACAGGTGCAAATGAATATAAAAACTTAGGATAGGAGGGTTCATTTAGCAAACTATGTGCTGGGTTGTATTTCTGTTGGATTCTCAGAGACGAGCTCACCATCTTTGTGCTTACCCAAGGTGCTCAGGGAGTAAACAAGACTGGCAAGTGAGCTGTGACCTTGCGAGGTCCTCAGATACACACCGAGCTGAGGAGAGGCTACTGGCCCAGCATTTGGAGAAGTTAGGAGGTGTACTGTGCCCCTGCCCGGTTCCTCGGAACGTGGCTGCACGTAGAGACAGGGCTTTAATGAGGGGTTAAGTCAGAGATGGGAACATTATGGTGGCCCTAAACAACCAAGTCAGGATAGGAAATCAGAGGGCCATCTGCAGGCTCAGAGAGGCCCCGGGGAAACAACCCCTGCCGGCACCTTGGTCTGACTTCTGGCCGCCTGAGCTTTGAGGAAAGAAACTTTCTCTTGGTCTAGGAGTCCATCTGGGTCTCGGTATGGCAGCCGCAGTATACTAATGTGCTAAGAGGGGCCTGGCTGGGGATGGCCCAGCCAGCCTGTGGGAAGACCTTGCAACTAGGCTTGCAGGAAGACTCTGGTTTCAGGCCTTATCACAGATGAAAATGTCACTGCACACTGTGTGCAAAAGCCATCTTGCTCAGAAGCAAGAACGACACTTCTCAGAGAGCTCCCTCCACCTCCACTCCTCATTGTTCTTAGCCTACTCACTCACACATCAACCACACTACTACAAGGTCTTAGATTGGGTCAAAAGAAACCTTTTTTCAGCATAAAACATATCCCAGGTGTTGATCCAATTTGATAGACATGAATTCAGAAAATTAAGAATCTCAACTAAGAAATTAGGGCATTTGATTGCTTTTAGTTCATCTAATATTTTCTCTTTGTCTCAATTCTAAATTTTTGAGATTTTCCTTTGAGAAATGAAAGATTTTTTCATTTATTTCTTCTTCTTCTTCTTCTTCTTCTTTTTTAAAATCTGTGCATTTTGATGTAGGCTTCACTTACCTTAATGCAGGAAACTTTAATTTGGTAGGTATACCAAAAGCAATGCTGAGGTGTCAATCTGAGTGACAATTTGGGCAACATTCCGGTTTTCAAGTCAGCTAAAGGGGCAGAGAATTCCAAAGCAAGCACGTGAGGTGCACTCACTGTTGGGATAGAGAAAACCTCTCTGCAGGACTGCTGGGTAGAGATGCATGCTCTGCTTGGGGGCTCAGAGTAATGGAAGTGGCTGAGCATCCACAGGGTCTCTAAAGTCAGGCCTAGGTCAGGAGTCTGCAGTGCTCAGGGGCAGTGAAGAGCCAGGGAGGAGCTTCCCCAGGGAGGAGGCCTCTCTGCCACGGTCTCCAGTGTGCGTCCCCTGATGTCAGGATGAAGAGATAAGCCTGGGAGGACAGGGAGATGGGCCCCTGGGCAGCTTCCAGGGCAGGAGAGCACAAAGGGCATCTGCAGATGTTTGCTAAGAAACTTACAAAAGGGCTGTCTTAAAATCAGGACTACGTGACTGGAGAGGTCCCTGTCTCTCCAAAGAAGGGAAAGTGCCTGATTGATATTCTGATTGGACTAAAGGCTGCATGAACACCTCCTGACACTCAGTGCCTTGCCCGGGATTGGGCAGGGGGCTGGCTTCCTTAAACCTATCCATCTACATAAACCCCTAGATGGTAGCCACTCTTTGATATCTCTCTTTGGACTCCTCACTTTGAGAGCTCTGCTTTCTATTACTCTAATAAATCCTGTCACTTTACTCTCACACTTGTGTCCATGGAATTTATTCATCAAGTTCATTAATCAAAGAACCCAACACCATGCTCCATGCTCCATACTTGGGGGCTCCTCTAGTATCTACAGAAGAGTGAGTAAAATGGGACAATGGCTTTTCAGTGAGCCCTACGCTCTCTCTGACACACACACACACACACACACACACACACACACACACAAAACAGGTATCTGTCAGTCACTTAGCAAGTAGCAGAGCTGCTGGTCTCCAAGACCCCGACGACAGTCTTGCTGAACAGGCAAGGCCAATCCCACTTCACCCAGGCATTGGAAATGTCGGTCCTGACTTGCTTCAGTTTCTTTTCTGTGGGAGGAAGTTGGTGCAAGGGACAGAGGAAGGTTTGAGACAGCTAAATGGGGTGACTCCCCATGCTTCCTGAAGGTCTCTTGTCCCAAGTCTGACCCAATGGCCTTCAGAGGAACCAAATTTCAACCACGATCTTTCTTTCTGTTTCTGACTTTGCCCAATGATGGTAGCCCCCTCACCTAAAGAACCTTGGATCCTGAGATGAAGTCATGTCTGGTCTGCGGTCCTTGGGAAAGAGATGAGCTGTTAATCCCCAGAGTGTGAGCCCCAGTCTCCCCCGTCTCTGCAGGAACACCTCTTCTCCATGTATACCCTGGGGTGCAGGCTCTTCCACTGCTCTCTCCATCCAACCAACCCAGATCTCTCCTCCCCCTCTCTCTCTCCCTCTCACCCCCTTTCTCTCAAGTGCCCAAGTAAAGTCTCCAGGGACTTCCAGGCTTTGGAATGCTTTCCGGGAGTCAAACCCCAAGTCTGTCCATGGTGCCCACGTCTTAAACAGGGGCCCACTGTAGGAGATGACCAAGCACAGCTCCCTCACTTTAAACTCCCCCCTCTCATCTTTCACAAGCATTTTTTTCCCCTGTCCTCCCCTCACCCAGCAGGAAAAAGACCAGAGGTCTGTCCCTCTTAATTAAAATAAACTACCACTTATCTCTTCTAGTTCAGGGAGCCAAATTATTTGCTTTCTGATCACCCCGAGCATTAATAGGCCTCCATCTTACTTCAAATTGAGAAACATAGTATGATACCATGATCCTGTAAGTATGAGGACCCAAAGGAACACCCCAAAGTGTCAGCATGCCTCGCTGCCCTCCTGGGACCCCCACCACCTGAGGTGTCATAAATCTGCTCTTCCTAGCAAAACCTTTACCATTAATGCCTCTGGCCTTGCTCAGACTTCTTGGATCTTGCTCAACAGGACGACGATCCATACCAGCGAAGGTCCCGGATGACACAGACACGTGAAGCAGAGGAGTACACCATACTGCAGGCTGTTTTTATCACTGGGCACCACATTTGGAAATCTGAGTGGCAGGAGGCCAGTAAGGACCCCTGGGTCTTTGGCATGTGGCCAACAAAGACCTATGCATGCATCCTTTCAGGTAAGGCAGCAGTAAATCCATCAGGTCATGGGAGTTAGAGAGGTGGGATTGCTGACCAACAGAAGCCCGTTAAGGAGACACCCTCATGAGAGTGAGTAGAGTCTCTGGCGTGGGCCACCTGAGTTCTGTTTTCTCGTGTTCAGATGGGAGCTTCAATCTCCACAGTAACACTAGGTTCACTGCTAGTCTACAGCCTGGGAAACTGGGACACGTTTGACCCACAGATGCTCAAGAATCATTTTCTTCTGCTGCCAAGCATGGCCTCAATACAAACCCTCCAATAGAGAATCATGGCCATCAGAGGAAAATATAAATTTTAATACCACCCTGCAGTTTAGCTTGCTTTGTAAAAAGGGAGGAGAGTAGCCCAAGGTTCCCTATGTGCAAGCCTTATTTTCCCTAAGGGAAAAACCAAAATTGTGCCAACAATGTAAATTAGACTTAGCTGTGATTGCTGTCCCACTGGAAGAAGCTCATGCTAAGGAAGAAATATGAAAAAAAAATACCCCAAATCTACACTTCCTGTCATACCTGTCAATAGCCCATATGCGCCCCCCATATCAAAAGTTATCAAGAAATTAGCATCCTCCATTCTGAGCAAGGCCCACTTTTTCCCCAAAAAGTTTTTGACTAATAATAGGCTCAGGAGAGACAGACCAGGATTTATTACAAGATAAGAAAGGCATCTAAGGGTTTCATGGTCTCCCAGGTTCACAAGTCACACAATAAAGGTGGATAAATCTGGAGGCTTGCACCTTTTTCATGGTCACCCATGAAAGAGGAAAGAACACCCAGGGGCCCTCTAATCAAAACTGAGACAGGGGATGACTCAGGGGGGGATGGTAAGGCCCTAAGTCCGGTACCCCAGCAGTCTCTGCCATATTGGAAACAGAGTCTCATCCTAGGTCCTGACCATACTGGTAAGGCAGCGGTTAAATCCTGTAGGTCACGGTAAGAGGGGCAGGAACTGCTGACTGCTAGTGGCTCAAATTAGGGGAGATGTCCCTTAGCCAAAAAGACAGCTTTCTTGGGAGAGGTGCCCATCTTTCATTGAGGTGGGCC